GGCATTTTGTCAGCAGGCTCAAAACTCAGCTGTGCATTTAAAAACAACAAAGGATCTTACTCAGCCCCATGCCTTTTGTTCATTAAATGTCAGAGTTCTGACTTCCCTGAGTTCACAGAAACATATAATTAAACTGCTCAGGGAACCTTTAAAGGAAACTGTCCTGTGAAGTTGATAAATCCACCAGCAGTTTTAAAAGGGCAGCCTGTGGGTTATAGACAAAAGACTTTGGAAATTTGGATGAAAAAAAAAGAATGCAGGTGTACACCGACAATTGTCTAACCAGAGTAAATGTTCAGTGAAAGGGGCTGAACATTTTAAAAGTATGACAGGGAATTATATTTAAATGCATCAAATAAGACAATCCCCTTAGAGTTGTAAGAAGGCAACCAAGCCTCTTTCTCCAGGCCTGAGAGTTGGCACATCAGCCCTGACTTTCCGCCCCCGCTGTCAGCCATCAGATTCAAACACAGAGGTGTCTCCATCCCCACAGTTCCTCCTTATGCCCTCAGCATTCAGGAAATTAGACAACTGGATGCATCTAGAATTTAATGAGCATTTTGCTCTAGACCAAGAAAAATTGAAAAATCATTTACACTCTACATCTATTTTCCAAAACATCATTGAATATTGATTCAACCACAGCATGTACATTTGCTAGAATGGTAGTAATTTCAAGCAATAAAATGTTTCTTGCTCAATAAGCCATCGGCTTTCCTCCATGTTATTAAAGAATGGCCCAATGCACATGATCACCAGACTTTGTTAGCCTAGGCCAACTGTTAAGGAGCTTCTGTTAGCAATGTGTTGATTTGACCTAGTCAGACTATAGAATTCAGAGGAATTCCTTTGCAAAGCCCTTTTCTTATGTAGACTGTCAAGGTCTTTCAAGGTATCAGGTTCTGTAGAGAACATAAGCAAAAGTCAGAGTCTAAGATGCCTCAGAAAGCATCATGTTGGACACTGTCTACCTCTCAGTAAATCCAAAACAGCGTATCTCCCTCCTGTGTTGGGACAGATCAGGTTTACTTTACTGAGTATCGGGTCAAGTCTGGTTTGCAAGTAGAAGAATGAAAACCATGTCCCTTGAAACCCTAGAGCTTTGGTCAGAGTGGGGAGACGCTCAGACTTCAAGGTGGGCTCCCACCCTTCAGCTTCTTAGCTCCCTTGGGCTGAGCGCACATAGCACCTGCATGCCAGATGCAGCTCTGTCGCATTTCAAAGCTCTTCCCATAGTCTCCTGTCTCAAGTGTCTGTTCTTCATCCTGACTCCCAGCATTCCAAGGACTCTAGACTTGCCAGAACTTCCTGTCCAAGTCAAAATTCAATGCTCCAGTGCTTCGTAACCATCTGTGGCCAGTTAAAACCTACCAAGCCTGTTCCCCATCAGAATCCTGCCAAAACTCCGATTGACTCATTAACCTGATGACCTTAATCCTTACCACAATATCAGTGGGTGAAATGGTTCACTGTGTAACACTTCCAATGATAGTCAATCCTAGACTGGACTTGTAGGGTCTGAATGAAAGTAAAAACTGGATAGAGGTCTCACTCCCCACCCCTACCCTGCACACACACACACAATGCTTTGGCTGTACATACTAGATACTGTGTTTAGATTTCTGGGAAGGGTAGGACGATTTTCTTTAACTCATTCTTTTACTTGGTTTAAAACACAGTTTTTATTTTATTTTGATTTTTTTCCTTTACAGTATTATTTATAGAACTCCAAACCATTTCTTTTAAGTTGAACATTTGATTCACACTAAAATTAATAGTTTCTGGCTGTCATGGTTTTTGCTCTTAAAGGAAAAAGAAAAAAATTAGTTCATGCCCAATATTTTTCTAAGTATTATGTTTTTCTCAAAGGTCTAATTTCTTATTAAATTTTATCTAGGTAAGAAATAATAGGACTTACAGATTTAAACTCGTTTTTATTTTTAAGTGATTTAAATACTTAAAATGTATTCAGAAATTTTCCAGAACATTGTGTACAAGTGTTTTCTCTTCATACCTTCCTAATATAGTAGGTGTCTATTGTGAAAGGGAGCTTTTGTCTGCTTTCTATGAACAAATTAGCAATGGATTTAAGAAGTGACATTTTATTTGCTTTTGTTTTCAGAGTTGTGGTGGCTTAAGGAGGTTATTAATAACATTTTTCTATCCTCTACAATTGCTTTGTGGAATAGCTCCTCACTGGTCCTTTCACTGTACTCATCAAGGAAAAAGAAAAGGTAACATGAATTTAATCTCAATATGCAGGACAGGGAGAACAAAAGTAAACAGATCATAATTTTATTGTGTGACTCTCCGAAAGTACCTCTTACAAAGATGCAGGTGGAGCAACACAGTAAAGGCGCCATCGTCTGCCATTGTCATCCAGCTGTGTGTGGGCAGGAAGTGCTGCCATTCCAGCCGGAGGCCCTACATCAGTGTTTCCATGAGCCTATAAATAGTGTGACAGGGGTAGCGGCACACATGATGATAGGAGAGTATAGAAGCATTACACCATGGTTTGGATAAGTGTCCCCAAATGTTATGTGTTAAAGGCTTGGTCACTATACTGAGAGGTGGTGGAACCTTTAAGAGGTGGGACCTAGTGAAAGGATGTTTGGTCATTGGGAGTGTGACCTTGAAGGGGATATTGGGACTCTGGCTTCCCCTTCCTCTCTATTTTGCTTCCCAGTCACCATGAGGTGAGCAGCTTCCTCTGCCATGTGCTCCCACCATGATGTGCTGGCTTTCCACAGACCCAAAAGCCAAGCGACCATGGACTAAAACCTCCAAAACTATGATCCAAAATGTCCTTCCTTTTTAAGTTGATTTACCTCAGGCACTTTGTTACAGTGATGGAAAGCTGACTAACACACATGGTTTTCTCTAGAATTCTGTCATGTAACTGGTTATGTGACTGTAGGCATGTTACTCTCCTATCCGGCCCTACAGCCTTCTATGAACCACCAGTGAATAGAACTAGCGGAAAGTGGAGGCTTCTGCCTGTGTTAGGAGTCTAGGAATCCCTGGGTTTCCACGAGACTCATACAGACACTTGGCATAACCAGCCATTCAGTGCATCCTAGGTTAAAAAAGATAGGATGCTATTCAGCATTCCATGCTACCAGCTTTGGCATTGGCCAAAATAACCAACAAACGTCATAAATGTCAGCATACTATATTTCTGAAGTATGAGTAACTCAGTGCCTCAGAGAAGCCTCATTATCTGCCACAGTCACCCTGAAAACAGGTAGTTGGCAGACAAGTAGCTGTACAAGGCCTAGGTCATGTTTGGGCTTCTCTTCATCTTTCATGGTCCTTTCTGGCTGCTTTGGCCATGTTGTGGTTATGCACGTGGTCACACCTCAAAGGGTAACAACTTCCTGCCTGTCTGGTCACACAGAGGGAGGCCCTCTATGGGCTCTGGAAAATTACTGGAAGTTCCAGTTCATTCTCCATATCTGAATGCATAGCTTTTTGGAGTGGTGAAGGATTGGGCAGAAATCAAAATTTCTTGGTTACTGCATTTCCATTATTAAATTACAGTGATGTTATAGATGTCTTACAGAACTGAAGATAAATATAATCAGAGGCCTTGGAAACAATACCATTACCCAACAAAGCAACAATGCTAAAGAGTTTCATTGGCAAGATAAAACTCTAATATTCTTGGACTGGGGCAAGAGGTAGGATAGGGAGTTGATGAAACCCAAAAGATGATCATATGAGAATGTGTTATATGATCTAAATAGCCAACTAAATGAACAAAGATGATTCCTAAAAGCCAAAATCCCTTACATCTTATATTCTGAGGAAGGTAACCGAGGTGACAGAAATATTCAAACCATTTTCCTTGCAGATTATCCCATTTGACTATAACAATGAGTTCCCACACAGTTACCATGGCAGCCAGTACATCTTGTCCCAAGCTCAGGCCTTCTCAGAACCACGGAGACAGTCAAAAAGGACTGGCTTCTCCTTTGGTGTTTCTCTCTTAAGACATTCACATGTGTCCCTGTGCTCCTGGATCGCCCACAAGACCTCAGACAGAGAGGTATGAGCTGGTTCAGGGAGGCAGAGTCCAGAAAAAAAAATCAGGATGGGCCCAGTGAGAAAAAGGCAAAGGACTTGTCCTATCGTCCTTGTTATTTCAGACCCTCAGGAGTTATAGTTTGGGGAAACTGACTCTTTTGCACTCAGAAACACATTAATAAAGGAGAAAATATGAAGGACCAAATGGATACTGTGGTGCGTCTTCAGACTCCCCTTTCAGGGCAATGCTGCTGGGAATGTCTACTGTCTTCTGCTTCAGCTCTACCTGCACTCATCCTTAGGCACTGCCTTCGACTACAGGGAACCCCCTCCCCTGGGCCATGCTCCCACTGCATCAGGCGGTGGAACAATTGAGTACAACTTTTAAAAGGCTTCCCAGCATTCCACTTTCCCAGAGAATCAATCTGCCAAGGCCTAAGTTGCAACCCAATTGCTGTTTGTTATCTCACTTCCTGGATCTGCCTTCCTCACTTCCTTCCAGACCTAATCTCCTGCAAGAATTCTCCAATAAGCCTTCTACACACAACTGTCAGAGTCACTTTAAAGAAAACCCACTGCAAGGTAAGAAGTAATGAACATGAATGGGCAAATCCAAATGTGGCAAGCCAAGTACATCTTGGGTTTTGAAAATGAGTTGCAATCAATTGGAACATGAGTTCTATGAAATGTTCGCAGTTTGGAGAACACAATAACTTTTTCCCACCATATTTCTGTATTGCTCTAGAGTTGGAGAAAAGATGATTACACTTTTGAAATAGAAAGACAAGAATATTTTCAGCACATGGCCTACCTGTAAGAACTGCAGAGAATTTCACATCTGCTGAGGCATGTGACACGCAAGAGGAACCTACTCCTCAAATGTGTACCTTGAAATCCTTTAGGGAACAAAGTATGTGCTGGCTCCTAGAGCTTTGTTCCAATGGATGGTTAGTTACCCAACGGGATCCTCTTACCTCCAGGACCAGCCACAGCTGTCCTCCCACACAGCGATCCGCCTTGTAAAACATCCCATAAAACTTCACGACATTGGGATGATTAGGAAGAATCTGCAAAATATTGTATTCTGCCTCAATTTCTTCATCCATATCCTAAACAGAGCAAAACATAAATATACCTTGGATTAAGACTAATGTATCAGGAAAGGTATAGATAGGACATCATGCTCAAGTAATCACCTAATAATGCATATTTATTATGTATTTTTAATATCACCATTACCATAGCTTCAAAATACCTAACAAGCAACATTCCAATCCTGATTTAAACCTTTTAGTTGTTAATGAATAAAATTTTGTAGGAAAATCCCTTTTTCCTTATTATACTATTATAAATACCCTTTTTATTGAAAAAATGCCTGAATTTTCAAAGCAGTTAAGGAGAACTAGCTTGAAGGGACTCAACACAGGATAGGTCACATACAATCTCACTGTGCAAAACAGCACAGTGCTCTGAAACCTCAGTGCTCTGAAATCAGATGTCAGCCTCAGATGATTGAATAGTCTAAGTCTGGTTCATTATGTAACTTACAGTCGGATTGGGAAGTGAAATATATCACTCTCTCCAAAAGAGTCATTTTTGAAAAGCCAGAAGACCCAAGCCAAAACAACAGTTAAATAGGCAAGAAACAAAAGCCAAGGAAAGTTTTAATTCCAAGTGAAGTTCCTTCCTTCAGAAGAGCTGACAATCACGAATCATTTGGGGATTTCCTGCTGGCTTTCATGAAAATTATCCCTAAAATTAGGAAAGGAAGTTGAAAGGTCAACTTGCTTGAAACACTAGCTCGTGGTTACAACTTTCTACTGTGACTTACACTGATCGCGTCCAGAATTTTCACAGCAGCCAGGCTCCCATCTATCTTGTTAGCAACCTTGTAGACCTTGCCATATGTGCCTTTACCAATGGTCTCTATAATTTCCCAGGTGTCCATGGGGTCCGGAAGTGATTCAAGTCCAAGCATCATGGGGTTGTAGTGAAATAATCCATACAGATGTTTCCTGGTGAGAAATTTTGTTATGTGCAACAGATCTCAGGATTTGAGGCAGTGAGCTTTCAAAACAAAAATTTCATAATGAGTAGCCTGTGTTAGCTTTTTATTTTCCTCCTCTATTTTAAGTAAGTTTTAAAAAGAATTAGTAGCATCCTTAAGAAATGGTAACAGAAGATAGAATGGGAAAGTAACAAGACTGTGACACATCCTAAAAAACAGGGGAGAGATTACATACACAGCGGGAGTAAAGGCACCAAAGGAGAGGCTGTCTTGCTAGGCACTGAGAGGTGACTGAAACCCATAGGTCTAAAACCCTTGTCCTGGGGTTATGGTAACCCTTGTGACTGGGGTTCCCTCAGGGCCACTGGAAACAAATCCCACTCTCTGTGTGCACAGTCAGTGGAAGATTTGGTCCACGTATGGGCTCCAGTCCATACATAGCACCCACTGCTGACAGTCTAGGGACTGAGAAGAGAAGCCAAGCTCAGACCCAATCCACACAGCAATAGTCCCGGGGCTAACTAGACTGAGGGTTCCCCAGGCCTGCAGACTCATTCTGCCTTCATTAGCAGTGCCCTGTTTACTAGGCGGCGCTCTGTGGAACTGAAGTGCCAACAGCAAGCTTGGCAGGCAAAGTCGCCCAAGACTGACCATGTGAAAAAGCCACTTCAAGTTCAGTTGCTCTCAGGCTGGATGAGAGTCTTAACTGGTCCCCTTCCAGACCCCATGGGAGGGACACCAGGCTTCAACAGCAAGAGCCACATCACCCAATCCCACTCTGTACTTAGTGTCCCCCCGGGGGGAAGCACTTTTGCCTCTTGCTGGGAATTTCAACTTGCACTTACAATTATTTTGTAATTTGAATTCTTTCAAAGCAAAGCCCTGATATCTGACATATCAGGGCTGACATTACAAAAAAGCAAAACAAAAAAGTAACACTACTCATTGCGGGGCCTGCACCCAGTACCTTCAGGGCCAGGCAACACCCACCCTGAGGCACTGGACTCTCAAACCATTGCTCATGGAAGAACTCTGGCCTTTATGTGCTGGTTTTGAGACTCTCAAGAGGTGCAAACTTTCCTCCTCTCTACCATTTCACAAAATCAGTCTTTCTTACCACATTTGCAGCTTTTTCCATGTGTGCCTCATCTGTGCTGTTTCTAAACTTTTTAGCTATTTGTTTTTTTTACTTAAGTGTCTTTTAAAGGCACTTTCTAGCACTATCCTACATGCAAAACCAGTATCACTTGTCACATTTCAAAGTTAACTGCAAAAAGATGGTTACAGTGAAACAATAGAAAATTATTTAAGTCCATCCACACTGTGGCCTCTGGGTTCCAATTCTAAAAAGGAAGATCATGCAGAGATGAAGCAGAAGGAAAACTGGCACAAATTTTTCCCTTGTGTCATCAGAAGAGCTAAAGGAAATTAATTAACAAGGGCATAGCTGCTTTTTTGGGGTTTTTTTGTTGTTGTTGTTGTTGGTTTTTTTTTACATCCAAGCACATCTCTTTAAACCATAACTTTCCATCTCTGGCCCCCAAAGGTTTATGTCCATCTCGTAATGCAGCATACATACATACATCTCCATGAGTCACTGCAGTCTTAATTGTTCTAACATTGTTAAAAAGCCCAAGTTCAAAGCAACTATAGCTGTATGCCTTGTAAAATAAAAAATAATCAATAGGCTGGGCAGGGTGGCTCATGCCTGTAATCCCAGCTACTTGGGAAGCAGAAATAGGAGGATCACAGTTCAAGGCCAGCCCAGGCAAAAAGCATGAGATGCTATCTGAAAAATAACTAAAGCAAAAAAGGGCTGGAGGGTGGCTTAAGTGATAGAGTGCTTACCTTGCAAGCATGGGGCGGAATTCAAACTACAGCACCCCCAAAAAAAAAGAAAAGAAAAGAAAAACCAACATACAATGACATAGAGTAAACATTTCCATTTCAAAAGGGTGGAACAGAATAGCAAGGAAGGATCAGACTAAAGCAAGACTGAAACCCAGCAGGATTTAACAACCCTGTATCTATAGGCTCAGAATCCAAGTGACATGGTGTCATGATGGGATCTCCAATGGGAGAACACAATGCAGCCTTACTGGCTGCTGCCCACCTGGCCTCTCTCTTTGGCTGACTCCATTGCCTGTAGCTTTTCTGGGCAGATAGTTCATGTTCCTGGCATCTCCAACATCCCAGGGTCTCCACTGCATTTTAGACATCCCCCTCACAGCTTCACCCATCACCCTCTTAGGGTGTACCTGCAGAGATCATGACCCTCCACACATTGCCTGGCCCCCTAGGCCTTCCTTTGAAATCTGGGTGGAAGCCTGGAATTCTTATATTCTGTATGCCTGCAAAACAAGCATCACGTGGATGACACCAAGGTCTGCCACCAGTTCAAGTGGTAACTGGACCCCCCTTGGACCATGGCTGCAGTGGCCTCTGAGTGCCTGAATGGCTGAACCCCAGGAAACACTTCCCTAGGCAGTCAGCAAGAGCACAACTTGGCATGATGTGACTCAATGTTCTTTACTGCAAGATTCCCAAACCTTCTGACACCTGAGAATATTGCTGTAGGTTAGCTGCTACGAGAGCAAAAGATAGAACCAGCTGTGGTGGCCAGACAGTCTGAGAGGGTGCCACAGTGACATTTGGTCAGCAGAGATGTCACTACCTTAGACTTACCAGTGTGGTCCCTGTTCCCCATCAGCAGGGACGCTTGGATCTGGGCTCAGCACCAGACAGAGCAGCTCTCTAGCCAAACTACTGGCACCATCCCGACCCTTCCCTGACCAGCTGGGAGACTTGGGCTAGTGATGCCCTCTCTGCCTCAGTCTCTCCAGTGTTCTCAGGGTGGTGATGGTCATGCTGCCTCCTTCACTACTTGCAGTGGGGATTGATACATATCGCAGTGAGCCTAAGGGGAAGTCAGGGGGTCAACCAGCATCGCAACAGCTCTACCAAGATCTACCTCAGAACAGGCAAGGCTTAGCAAACCTTCCATTCTGTTTCACTTCACTTTCAACCACAACCTGAGTTGCGTTTCAATCAGTTATTACTTTCAGACAAATGACATGTGAGCCAGTGACACTGAATCAGAGAATTAACAGCAGGAGAAGACCATAGAGGCCGTGGAATCAGATGCTTTTCTAACTATTTGGGGCTATAAACACTTCTGTTAAATTCATCTCACTAAGGATGCCTACTAGAGAAGCTAAGAGAAGCAGTACAACCCTGACCGAGGAGCTAGGAACCAAGAGCGTCTGCCCTGTGCCCTCTAAGATAGCATGGTGGGTGAGCAGCCACTGGCTGGGTGGGGGTAGGACAGCCTCTATTTCAGAGCAGGGCAAACCAGGACAATTTGTCACTATTGCCTCCAGAGCCTTCCGTGACATGTACTTCCTCAAAGCATTATTAGAAAACTACTGATTAGGTACTGCCCACCATCTCATCCCCTGTGGTGACTGAATTGTGTCTCTTTCCCAATTAATATTTTGAAGTCCTAACTCACAATGCCTCAGAATGTGACCATATTATAAGGTAAAGAGGTAAAGGAAAATGAGATCATACAGGGGTGGCTAACCCAGTAGGACTTGTGTCCTTAACAGAAAAGGAGATTAGGGCTCAAACACTAGAGAGGGAAGACCATGTGAAGACACAGCGAGAAGACATCTTGTACGTGCCTGGGAAGCCTCAGAAGAAGCAAACCTTGCTGACACCTTGAACACAGACTTTCAGCCTCTAGAACAGAGGGATGTGACTAAAAACACCTGTTTATTAAACCACTCCATCTATGATACCTGGTTATGGCAGCCCTAGAAACACTAGCACACCCCCATTTTTCAGATGAAGAAATTGAAAGCCAGTTTGGTGACACAGCTATTTAGGGAATCCAGGATTCCCTAAGTCCAATCCACGACCTGTTCCACAGAACAGAATGGAGTCAGTTAGTTACCAGGGGTTCATTTCTTTCTCATTCATCCCACCAAACAGTGAGAACCTCTGTGAGGAAAAAAGTCCAGTCACAGGGAGTCTATGTGTTCCATGGTCTAACGAACAGCAAGCTCTGCTCCCCCAAAACAAGCACAACTCACACCCAGAGAAATTCATTTACAGTGGACACCAGTGCTGGGGAAGCGAAAGGTGGCCTCAGGTTCCTGCCT